AAGAAAGAAAGAAAGAAAGAAAGAAAGAAAGAAAGAAAGATAGATCAAACTTGCATGGGAAAAAAAGTGGGAGGATTAGAAATGGAAGATGACATTGTTTGGAACTCCTCTCAAATTCCAGGAATGAATCAGGATTATTTCCTAATAAATGCTAGATCAAGCAGCAAACTTCCTTGGCATCACTTCGTTGCTTAGTGATTAGTATGTAAGGAAACTGATAAAATGTGTTCCCTGAATGATCCCTGCTCTGATGTATATATTAAATAGACTAACAGAAAATTAATCCTTGCTCCTTGATGTGTTCCCTGACATAGCCCTTCTAGCAGTGTCCATTTTGGGGAAAGATGAAGGGTGTTGAAGGGTGCTACTGCATTTATGTTCTGTTTCAGGGCAGAACATAAACATCTGCAATGGCATTCCTTTTTGTGTTCTTATAATAAATCTAAGTTTATCAGTACCTACTTGCTCACTTTCAGAGGCAACCTGCCACTGAAAGCCGCTCCCCGAAGAACAATCACAGGACAGAACTATGGTTTCCATGGTCTGCTTCTAACCTTTCTTGAACTAATTGGCTGGTATGTATCAGAAACAGGATGCTGGCTAGATCAGATCCTGTTGATCTGATTGATCTAGCCTTCTTATAGTCTTACATATATAATCTGATTTGTTGATTATGGAAAGGATGTTATGCAGAGAAAGCTTTAGATCTTAGTAGAAATTTACTTCATTACCTTTTGACTGTTTTTAAAGATTTTAACAGATACTACCATATAAGTTTCAAGTTTATCAATATAGCCACAGGAGGTAGAATCTTGTTTTGAAAATATTAATGTTCATGATATTGATTTCTGCACCTGTTACAATGCTGTGCCAGATCTTGTAAGCCCCCCTTGCTTTCTACCTCGGTTTTCCAGATAGGTGCAGTTTTTTAGTTTTAATATTTTTAGTTTTTAGCTTTAACTTTTTAAGCTTTTAGTTTTGTATATTTTTGAAAATATTTTATAGTTTTTTTACTTGTAAGCCGCCTAGAGTCACTTGTACAGTGAGATGGATGGTGTATACATTTGATAAATAAATAAATAGGTAAGACACACAGCCCTGGTCAACAGACGGGAAATAATTAGAGACGTGCAATCTGCATGTGTTTGTGTGTGTATGCGCGCATATTCATTATACCTCTCCATAACTTTCCATCTTTGCATTATTGTACATGGACCAGCATCTACCGACAGTACCTTTTGTTCTTTCAATTTCTCTCTTCTTTTTGTGGTTCTCATCAACCCTGTCCAACCACAACATTCTGATCTTCTTCCTCTGAACCCATTCACTTCATATATTTGCTTTGCGATTCAGTCCTCGTTTAGTCTCTTTCTGTGACCAAACCACCTTAATGTACTTCATAATAGAAGAAATCAGTAGTTGAATGCAATTGAAAGAAATGAAATAGTCTCAGATATCTTTTCTTTTTATGCATTTTCATAATTATGGGGAAAGGACTTCATTTATCTTGTCCAGAATGTTAGAAAAATGTAAAAACAAGGAATAAGTAAGCATTTTCCATCCAACTTGGCAGAGTTAATATCATTCTTATAAAAATGAGGAATGCTTGAACATGTATAATAGATTTTCCCCTATATTATTAAAGGCAACCTTTAATCTGTAAGTAGTTTCTATCATCCCATTCTGAACTGTTTAGAGGTAAGATTTTAAGGTTAATGTCAGACTATCAATGTGTTGCATACTTTTCAGGATTCTTAACTTAGCCATAATCCACAATCACTCCCACAGAGGGACTGATGTCTGCTAGGCAGTATGTCCTTCCATCTGGGTTCTTTTCCTTAACAGCAGCTGCATATAACTAACAAGTGCATCATGAACTCTTTCTCATGGAGTGATTCAAAAACAAAACAAGTGCAAAAAACAGAAAGTGCAAGAAATCTGGGCCAGATACTCCATTGGGAATAAAGCTCAGTAATTGTGTTCCAGAAGATTTTTTCAGAGTCTAGATCAATTTTAGTTTTAGCTGCTCCCCCTACTGGAGTCTGAGAAATGCTGATACTTTCTGCTCTATTTTATTTATTCCAAAAGCATGGGGAGACCTTTAAAGGTATATAATTCTAATTATCCTAAGTTAGACCAAAAAGAAGCTACAGAAGCAGTCCTTATCCCACCTTTCCTAAGAAGCTGTGACTGAAGGTAGCATCATGTATCCTTAAACCCTAGAACTATTGCAGTTGCCAGGCAACACAGCAACACCTGTCTTTCTGGAGTAAAGATGCAGTTACCAGGGCAACAACATCCTGTCTTTCCGAATACCATCCTGTAATGTGGAAACTGCAGTTTCCATAGTAACCTTTTTGACCTAGTTAATTCTTGCTTGTGTGATTTAATTTTGTTTTAATGGTGACATTTGTCGGTTTGTTGTTTCCAAAAGCCTTCTGCTTCAAGCCACCTCTTTTCCAGCTCAGGATGCAGCTTCCCCACTCACAGACTCAGGGCGTAAGAGAGCTGCAGAAGCGGCAGGCAAAGCAGGTGTTTGGGAAGTAGTTACCAGGCAACAGGACCAGGGCGTTCCGGAGGTGGTTGCTATGGAGAACTGGATGCTGACGAAGGCTTGGGGGACTGAGAAGACAAATTGCCCTCATCATTATCTCCCGGCTTGTCAATCATACATATTCGCTTATTTACCTCTGAGAGGGAAACAGCACTAGGAGCAAAGAGGAAACAGAGGACGTGTGTGCTCAAGGCAGGAAAGGTGCCAGTGTAAAACTTCACGCCAGGAGAGACTGTCACCATCCAGGATGGCAACTATCACCTGCAACCGGTTTACAGAAGAATATCAGCTCTTTGAAGAGCTGGGGAAGTAAGTTTGAGAAAGATCTGGGGGGGAAACAGCAACAACTGTGTTTGATCTAATGGGAAATGTTGGGGTTGTGCAGAAATGGGGGTGGTTAGAAGCCTCAACCAAAATAAGTCCAGTTTGTATCTCACGGAAAAGGCAAGGCAGTGGAGTGAACAACAACAACAACAAACTCATAGGAAAGGAGGGAAATGCAGGCACTAAAGAGAGCAGAAAGGATGCACTAGGAGAGAACAAAAATCAGGGAGTTGGCAAACATGACCAGCCTGCTGTTAAAATTAAGGCAGTGGAAATAAGCACGGGAAGGTTCCAATTGCTTGCTGACAATGTTCCCTTATTGGCAGTGGGGGCATAAGTATGTTGGTCACTGCCTGTAGTTCTGAGTTGTCCCGGCCAGAGAGGGCAAGGGGTTCATGCTCCTCGATAACAATTCTGTCATGCTGTGAATCCGGGAGAAGTTTATGCTTGAATTGCCTAGCCAAGAGCAACTTCCCAAGGTTGGCACTCTCTTCCCTGGGAATGGCAAATCCCATCCCATTGCTTATTTTTCTGAAATCCTCTTTCTTGTGAGATAAGGAGAGCCACCTTGAGACCTCTGGGTAAAAGCCCCCATGGGGACAACCAAGTCAGTACATGAGAGAGTATTATTTAGGTGCTGCAACGTTGCAAAAAATGGATGGGTCTATGTTTAATTTTGCATATTTCAAGCCACATCTTTGCATGCACAATTACACGACATTCTATGTTACCGTTAGTTTGCACATGTCCAAGCATATATTTGTGTACATAAGATGTGTGAGTTTGTATTACAATATTGCTGTTTACTCTTGGTGAAGCAGGTGCAAATTTACTTTATGTAATTAAATCTCCAGGAAGCCAATCAAGAGCTACGTATAGCTTTAATAAGTTATAGTGTTTGGAAGTATATGTATTTCGTTCTTTAGAATGCATTCATGTTGTATTTTCATATTGGCAGAATTTCTGACTCTGTAAATGATGCCTGAATACACACACACACACACACATGCACTATGTGCGTGCGCACACACACACTTTTTGGAATCATGTATGTATTCTCTGGTGTATTTGCTAGCCTCACCATGTATCTGTAAATGTATTCCTTTGTTTCAACTTCTCTGTTGTGTGTTTGCATTTTTTATGTATTTGAAAAATATTATGGAAATACGCCTTTTGATTTGAATATTTGCAAATATTTGTTGGCATTACTCTTTCTCTAAGAGCACACATTGCTACTTTGCATGCATATATGCATTTGGGTAGAAGTACTTAGGTTTTTGAATACATGCAATTATGCAATGTACCAAACTGGAAGAAATATTTAGGACAAAAGTGCATCATAAAGAGGGGAGGGCATTTAATTCCTTTATTAGCACATGTCAGTATAAATAGAGGACAGGATAAAGTGTGCTAAATTCAATAAAAGCCAACTTCGCAAAAGTTGATAATATTGAATGGTTTAGATGTTACTGATTTCCCAAACCTTGTATTTATTTTCACATATACTTTGGTGATGAAATCATGCATGGTGGTTGAAAGATGAGTCAATGAGCAGATCTCTGCAATAAATGGAGACATATGTTTCATTCCAACCCTTAACAAACATTATTAAGCATTTTTTTCTTTAATAAGCACTGGAAAAAAGTCAAGCGCAGTTCTTCAGGTGATTTCTAAAATTTGTACTAACTCTCCTATGGGATCTCACTTGGAGAGGTGATTTTGACAGTGATTCTGCAGAATGTACACAAGAGGTTTGCATTAGAGAGCAATGTTTCAATAGTGCATGGCTCAGAAAAAAAAGTGGGCAGCATTTTGAGTTCTGTGACAGTGATTTTAAAAAGTCACCATTCTTTCCTGGCCATCGAAGTGTTATTACCATTTGTTTTTTGTTTTGCTTTGTTTTCTCTTACACCTGCTTGGATCCTCATTCATTCTCTATTAGTTCACTCAGGAATGTATATGAACAACAGGGTGTGGTGTAGCTTCCATTTTTCTCTTCCTTTACTCTAGCACAGGTGGGGGATGGAGAAGCAAAAGAAGAACATTATTGCCATGGAGGAGCCCATGGATGGTTGAATGTGCTCATGGCAGTGAAATGTTGTTGATTATGATGTAGGGGGAAAAATATATTTTGCCTGAGGAAGGCTCTAACTTTGCAGAACTGCACCTAGGTACTGTGCATCTATTGCCCTGACTTTCTCATAGTCATTTGGTCTTGTTAATGTCATCTAGCTAATGCTTCACATATTATTCAATGTTATTGCAAAGTGCCCAATTGCTTAGGAAGAAGGGTCAAACCAATAGAACTTGCTGGAGAGGATCCACTTAACTTGAGAAAAGCTTGTGGAAGTGTCATGCCATATACATAACTTCAAGATGAGATATTCTTGGATGATAACACATGTAGGACATTGCTAGAGATTGTCTTCCTTGAAATGCAAAGAATTACGCATTTACAGCTTGAATGTGCATCCATAGACCTCTGCATTGGTTACTTATGTCCTAGTCATAAGTAGGGCAATTTTGAAAATCCACTATTGTGAAAAGGATGTGTAACAAGATAATATTTCAAGAACAAAGCGATTAGGATTTAATGTCGGATAAGCCATCATTAGCATTATGTACAAGTATTCAATTTTTTGGAAATGCTCAACGTCATGACCTCCTCATATTATTTAAAATAGGTAACAAAAATATATTCCTTGGAGAAAAAATATGTTTTAATTTTATATAATAATGGGCTTCTAAATCCCACTAGGATTAAGATGGAAGCGTAGTTTTATAGTTATATTCTCTGTTATTTTCTCACGGCATTCTTTGTACTTGGGTGTTTGAAAGACTGACACATCACCCATTGGTGTCAATGGGGGCAAATGATGTGTGCAATGGCTGAAGCTGTGCCTCTTATGTATTTGGAGTATGATGCTGCAAGCATGTGGAGTGGAGCATGCGTCATGATGTCACAATACTTGTGCCATCATTTTAATGAAATGTTTAGTTAGTGTGGATGGCTATGACATAACTGGATGTAGAGTAACTTTCCCCTAATCGCTGCCCTTTACATTGTTGGACCACAACTCCCATAACTAACAAACACCATGGTTAATATACAGTATCTGCAAAACATTAGGTTTGAGAAAATTGCCCTACAATCAGTGTGTTAATTGGAATATGTTATATTTGCAGGGTGGTCAAAGAAGTTGGGAACACAGTTCTTTATGTTATGTAAGACAAATACACTTGAGGTTGAGAAAGCAAAATATTGTTCTAAATATATATTTGGCATGCTAGAAAGAAGGGGGAAAAACAGATTGGGTTAATATCTTCCCAGGCTCTTCTGCTGAACAAAGTATTTATCACAGAAAGTATTGTCATTCAGTAATTACATTTATAAATTTGGCTGAATATTGAAGGACTGATCTAAAATAAAAAAAATAAACATTTCTATTTATCATCAACTCAAGATATGGGTTAATTAAAAAAAAGTTTTCCAATTAATCTTTTTATATGGCCAAAGGGATCTCGAGAAAAGGTAAACTGTGTTTGGCTTTCTTTCTTTATCAAATGGCCTGTGTTGGAGTCTTAGTAACTGGAGAAGTTTCCAGTATATTCATGCTATACAGAACGATCTTGCATCAGATCTGAAAGGCATTATCTCAGTGTTTTATATAATAAAACTAAAGGCAGGGTTCTGTTAGAATGGATATAATGCTACTGTTTACGTGGCTATGTCAAATGGCTTTAAAGATATGCTAAATTAATCTTTAAGAATGCTCTTTCAATGCAAACTCCTGCGGTAGAATTAGCTACCTTGGGCAAGAAATACAGTTTTATAGAGAGATTATTCACAGAAAGGTTAGGGAAAAAACAAGAGATGCATTGAGTGAATATGGTGCCTTGTCTTAGAAGCCAGAAAGGTGATCACTGCAAATACAAATCACCTACAGATTAGCACAAGTAGCACGAAACTATATTAATAGCCCCATATGTTCATTCTAGAACTCTTTTGCTAAATGATTTATTTATTTACACTTTTAAAATCTTGCTTTTCTCTGATAAAGAGTCCCAGGGCAATGAAGAAAATATCCTCAGGTCATCAGGCTGGACTCAATGACTCACTGGATCCTTTCCAGCTGTAGATTTCCAGCTTATTACAATATTGAAATATGATTGCATTCATTTGTTCAACTATTTAGATTCATACAAAAATGAGTTCGCAATGGTCCTAAAGCAGTTTACACAAACTCAGGATAATTAGAAAATTCTGAATACCCTATCATTAGTTGCCAGCTGTTGCCATTAAGCTAATGTTCCTTATAGCAGTCTTTTCATCCAGGAAATCAATAATAAATTTACTGTAAGAACATCTGAATTTTGCTAGATTGGGCAAAGGATTTAACCCGTCCAGGATCCTGATTTCCATGGTGACCAACTAGGTTCTGATAAGAAGCCCTACGGCAGCAGAAAACAGCAGTAGCTCTTTTCTTGCTGTTTTTCTTGATTAACTTATTGCCACAAATGCTTCATTCATACTTCTGTGAGGATACTCACATGTTCTTGTCACAAGGCAAAAACAGGAATAAAGGGCCCAAAGGTGTTATGTGCATAGTACACATTTATACACTGAATTTCAAATAAGGGGGAATAGTTATTTCTGAAGAAAAATAGTTCAGATGATAATAAAGTCCAAAATTTATTTAAATTTGTATACTGCCAAATCTATAAGACTCATGACAGCACACAACAAAATTAGAACAAACACAACGTAGTATTTAAGGAATAAAACATGTTCAAGAATGCTAAAACAACAGCAACACCCCAGCACTAAAGTGTCCGTGGTAAAATCAAGCAACAACCTCATAACATCAAAAACCAAATTATAGTCAACCTCACTATTCCCATTACACATACCAGCTTAGCCTTGCACCCCCACCCCACCCCCAACATAAACATACAATAAGAAACCAGCCAACATCAGAAAGATG